GTAAACCGCTATCCTAGAGCAAACACTGCAAGTCCAAAGAATATTTTATTAAAGTGAAAATGCTAACTTAATCTTCACTGAAAATATTGAACTTTAGCATCGACTATCCGCTATGGGCCAATATTATTAGGATATATTGCGAATTCAACGCAGTATTTTACAGACACGTATAGGGCATCCTAATGGTCCCGCCTATATCGGGTATGTTGGTGGACCTCGTTTTAAATAATTTTGATGCGGAAGTCAGTCAGCATGTCAGTATCAGTCATTATATTTGGAGTAAATAACCGAAGTCCTTAAAAACTCCATTGAAACGGTACAGGAATGCATAAGTTTTTATGATATATGCAAACATTGTTACATATCGCTTTTGTTGTGCAAAAGTGCATAGAAATAATTTAGAAATATAAATTGTTGAAAAGGTGAGGTAATGTGCATTTTCTAGGGACAAATGTAGTTTCGACGTGTCGATGACACGTTTAAATCAAGCCTAGACAGCAGGATATATTGAATTCAATTAATTCCACGACGTTATTTCAACTGCCTCCCCTTGTTGCATGAATCAAAAAAAGGGTAGGAACATACAGCAAATTTAAGTTCACAGAATGTCAGTGTATAACAGCAATGATCATATTTTAGTATAAATAACTATCAACTAAAGGACACTTCATTAAATCAGCGTTTAGAAAGAAACGGAGGAGAATAAGCTGGCGCAGAGCAAGTTATGATTAAAACTAGCTGCCTAATTACAAAGTTAATCGGAGACTGACCACGTGGTCTAGCTGCTTGCACAGATCACTTTTTACTCGTCATATGTAGGCCGCTTCCAAGTTGCACATGCCACAGTCCATCAGGTCAACAGTCCATCGGGACCCCCCAGTGCATCAACAAGCGCAAAGATTTGGTGTTCCCGTACGGCGGACTGAGGCATTGCCTGAGGAGGGAGCATCAGTCACGTGGGAAGGGCCGGGACTAGCAACAATTCTGACAACAGAGAACATAATTTTCGCGCAATCACGAAGGCGCATCCGACACGTACAGGGAATTCGCGGCAAATAATGAGTCGAACGCGAAGTTTAAGGCCATCAGCGCAACAAATAAGACCCAAGCCGTGACTACAGGAAAGGATAATTATAGTACGCACGCGGATGAGCGCTACAAACTAGGAATACTGCGCAATCGGTGAATGAAATACCCCCATCTGCGCATGACTATGATACCAATATACCTGATTAATGAATATAAACAGGATCCAAGACGTCAGGAAAATAAAACATTTGTTCCAGTCGTTGCGTATTCTTCCTCTGAAATGCTTCCTGGTAGTCGCCTATTAACTTCTATTGGGAGAGCCTAATTTGTTCGTGTACGAACAAATACTCGGAAAGCTCTTTTGAGGTCGACAGAGTGACTATTGTCCAGCAGTTGTGGTAATCTGTCTTGTTGCTTTAAAAGCCAATAAAGCAAGTGTTTAGCAGCCCTGGTCTTCATTTGCCTTTGTGTACTTGCATCCGTAAGTGCACGTGAATTAATATATACAACATGAGGTGGCATGCAGCGGCAAGGCCTTCTTTGCCCCTCAACCTGAAGGCTTTTAGCAGGATTCATTAAGAAAAAAATCCACTGCGTTGTATGTCCTTTAGTAGTTAGTTGCACTGCTCCGTTTATACTGTAAATTTTATTTTTCAGGTTTAAGTTCCTCGCGCAATTATGAGGGTCATCGGCGTCCACTGTGGAATCAACAATGGAGTTGAAGCCACCACTTATGTCTTAATTGATACAGTACTGCCTTCACACGTCAAGTTTGAATCCCTAATTGCCACAACTGCCTTCTCAGCGTCGGATGCACCTAACGCAGCAACAACTCTGACGACAACTGGCATTATTGTCACGTAATTATTAGGCACGCATTCGACCCTTTCTGCGCATGACTGTGACTATGCTACCATCACTTATAATGAAGTATTCCGGACGGAATCTGAAACGTTATGAAAATGAAACTCTTGGTCCAGTTATCGTATCCGCTCCTTCTGAATACCTTTATTATGAGTCAATGGCTTTATGTTGTTGACTTTGCGCGAAAGGGAAGCTCGCGTAAAGCTAGCCATTTGAGGGGCGTTCTTCTTGATTTTGACATTGTCATGTCCCCATCCGTGGACACTTTTAAGGCAAAGTTTGACCAGCACCGCTATACGTGCCACCGTGGCATCTAAGTTTTCCGAAAGCAAACATTGAATTGTCATTTACATGTTATAAATATATGCTAATATCTTTTTTATGTAGTATTACTATTGTTTAATCAAAACGTCTTTTCATCATAAATAGCCATATCCGCACTTCTCTTTTCACAATGCAAACCGCGCTGATCGCATCTGCACTAGCATCTACCGCACCTATAGTCCTAGGTTACGCGGCCTTGTGACATTCTTTCTCGTATCGAACTAAAAACCAACAGCCGACGACGTGGCGGGTTCCTCTGCTTATGTCACAGCAAGAGGGTATCATGATCGTATCTCCGGTTCTTGGGGACGTTCTCGTGACTTCGAGGTCTCCTCCTCGTGTGGCCCTTCGGATGTAGATATTACTCGTCATAGACCCCACGGCTGCAGCGAAGCGCTGCCTGGCGCCACGGATTATTCTTATCTAACACTACAATGGTAAATTGGACATTAGGTAAATTAAGGTAGACGACATCAAAACCACCACTTTTATTTTATTGGAGAAATGTCAAAGGAACCTGCAGTTTGATTTGTAAATGTACTAAAATGAAAACGCATATATCAGTTATTATTATATATATTCCACTGTCTAGCCTAATTCGCCACCCACAAAACCCCTATAACCACCGTTTCCGTAGGACAAAATGCTGGTGCCCTGAGTAGAAGTCCATTGGCTTAACTGTGGATGCCTCAAAAAGCTTTATTTTACTAGTCCGTATAAGTATACGTCCTGAGCCCAAATTGAGATAGAGGGCGAAAAAAGGGCATACTTTTAAACATATTTCAAATGCAGCAAAGATAAAAATCCAACGAAACGCGTTGCTTCGAGAGAATGCCCATCTGGAATCAGAAAACCAATTTGAATTTGGTGCGCTACTTCTCCTGTCTTTGCCCTTCTAACAACTTCTTCCCTTATTTGCTTCGTCTTCAGTTTTCCAAAGCCTGTGGATGTGAGGAGGAATCATTGGCGGAGCAGGTGGCATGCCTTCAAAGACTCCAACCAGCTGAGCTCGTAGATAAGGCTGGGCAGTGCATGCGGCGAGAGAATAGAGACGTGCAGCTCGTTTGGCTGAATCGTCGCAACCCATGGATGCCTCAATTTACGCACTATATCCTCATTTGAATTCGCACCAACAGTTGACGGTCTCTTCCTCCCCGATTGTCCAGAAAACCTTCTTACTCAAATGGCCCTTGATCCGACGGGCTCTACACCACCCAGGTTATTGATAAGCACAATGGCCATCGAGGGCATATACTGGCTCCTTTATGGGCTTGGGTTGAAGAATGTGCAATTTCTCAGTGAAA